GAGAACTCCCCTTCGGTTCTGACAAACTGTAAGACCGCAAGGAGTGACAGCAGAGCCACGGGCAAGTTCAACCAACAGAGAGAGAATGGCGACCCCCCTGGACAGGAAGAACCCACAATGCTGCTCACCCACAAACCAGTACAACTGCACCCAAGCTGGTGCTTTGATTCACCCTTTCTTTTTTTTGTTTTTTTTAAGAGAGGGGGACCTTATTCCCTCCTCCCAATCTAGAGTTTGGGGGTCCTGAATTCCCCAGGTCTCCCACCCAAGGGCCGCTGACGTTCTCTGTCGCTCCCTCTATCGGTCCCGATTAGGTAATCTTGCCTTGCCGGCGCCAGTCAGTTCTCGTTTCAGTTAACTGCATTTTTTAGAATGAACCCCCCCCCTTTTTCATCATGCCCTGCTTTAAGCTATATTCTCATTTTCCTCTATTCATTGTATGTTCTTTATAATTCTATTGAATCCCACAATTTCTCAAGACATTCACAATCATCCCTGTGCCAAAGTCCTCCGCAGCTTTGTGCCTCAACGATTACCGCCCCATTGCACTCACCCCTATAATCATGAAGTGCTTTGAGAAGCTGGTGATGCAGCACCTACATCAGACCATCAATGTGGCTGAAGACTCTCCCCAGTACGCGTACAGGCGAAACTGGTCCACAGCTGACCCCATCTCTGCTGTGATACTCCAGGCCCTCTGTCACCTGGAGAATAAGGACTCCTGTGTGAGGCTGCTGTTTCTGGACTTTAGTTCTGCATTTAATACCATCATTCCACAAAAGTGACCAAGCTGGCAGCATTGGGTACCTCCTCATACCTGTGTAACTGAGTCCTGGATTTCCTGACCTGCAGGCCACAGAGAGTAAGGATTAATAACAACATATCCTCCACTATCCTCCTGAGCACTGGCTCCCCCCAAGGCTATGTGCTCAGCCCACTACTGTACATTAATGACTAATGACGACAGAGATCACTACAAGAACAACCTCGTGGTAAAGTTTGCAGATGACACAGCAGTGGTAAGACTCATCACCCTTGTGGACAAGATGGCGTATAGGTTGGAGGTGAAGGACCTGATACAGTGGTGCAGGGACAACAACCTCATCCTCAACATCCAGAAGACCAAGGAGATGGTTGTGGATTTCTGCAAGACTGGCACCCCCCCCCCCCCTCCACTTTACATAGATGAAGCTGCTGTGGACATGGTCCCCTCTGTCAAGTGCCTTGGGGTACACCTGACCAACACCCTCACCTGGTGCACCAACACTGCAGCTGTCAAACTGTTAAACTACTCCACCACCCAAATACTGAACATTTTGCACTGTAATAACATGCCTTGATGCTGCAACATGTCACTTGTTACCATAGCCATGCTGCACACACTGAGACCCAAGAAACTGTCTTTCGTTCTTATGTCAAATGGTTTGAATGACAATAAAGCTGATTGTGATGGGTCCAGCATCCAGTTGCAGAATGGGGAGCTAAGCCCCAAATGTAGGAGCTTAGCAATAAGCAGGGATGGAAGGATGCCTTCGTAGGCTGAGATGTAGTCCACACACAAACAGAAGTCTGACATAGCAGTTTTTATTTTACAGGTCACACAGAGTGGTGAAGATAGCATCTATAGAGATGGCATCTCCTGTAACCTGTTGCAGTGGTAAGCAAACTGTAGTAGGTCTAGACTGTCCGGTAAGATATCCTTAAAGTATTTCAACACCAGCCACTCGAAGCACTTCATTGCGATGTGGCAAATGTATCTTGGTGGTAATCATTAAGGCAGTCTGTTTTGGCTGGGATCACGTTTGCGGGGACAGTTGACTCTTTCAAAGAGCGATTCCAAATGTCAGTGAAAACAACTGGTAGCTGGTCGCAGCAGGCTTTTAAAATATGTGCAGAAACTCTGTCGGGGCTGGCTGCTTTGCAAGTATGAATCAGTTGAAAGTTATTTAGATGACTTAGATGACTGTGTTCACAAAATGGCTTCTGCAGCCTCCCTTTCTGTCCTCTACTGCCACCTAGTGCTGCTGCTTCGATTTGGGGTCTTAGGTGTATCAGGTGTATTTTTTCAACCATATAATGTTTTTGTGAAGTGGTAATAAGATCCATGGAAGATCAAATAGAGTAAACAGTGTAATAGGGTCAACTAGAATTTACAAGATCAAACATCTTCTGCAGTCATTGTTCCCTTTGCTGCCACAAAGTGGTGTTGCTTCAGTTTTGGTGCAGTTTGTCTCAAAATTAAAATAGTGCCAGATCATCACCCATATAATGTATCTGCAACGTTTGGAAAAGACTTAAATAATTTTTGAGTTATCATGCTAACAAGATCAAACGTCTGAGTCTGCCCATCTTTTTGCTATCACTACGTGCTTCAATTTTGGTACGATTTGTCTCAAAATTTGATTCAGCTTCACACCAAGACTGTGTCTGCATTTTTGAAAAAAAGATCTTTTACATACTTTTTGAGTTTTTGTGTTTGTAGAAGCAGAATTGTTCCAAAAGGTCATGTTTCCCCTATACAATAAATGCAATAAACACAGACCTGTACAAAAGCTTTATTTATGCAATATTAACCATTCACCTGTTGTATAAATTAGGCTACACACTAAAGTTGATTACGCTGATCCACATTTAATGTTAGAAAATTATGTGTTAATTTATCAATTTTTGTATAGTTTTGGCTTGTTAATAATAAAAGAACTATTAATCAAATGTAGCTAGTCAATATGACTACAATAAATGCCACTGCAGCAGAGTCTGTAGCTTAACCCCGGAAGCACAGGGAATGAGGAAGTGGATGTCTACAGTGAGATACCAATCTATTGTTCTCACTCATACAGGGGCTTGTGCACTCATGAAAACTGCATGTCTTTGAACTCCAGGAGGAAGTCAGAGTACTTGAGAAAACCTTGACAAGTACAGAGAGAACATGAGAACGCTATTCATCATCCATTTGTTTTCGCATTTAGTTGTTTTAAAAAAAGTTAATAAATCCATCAGCAGATGAACATACAACGTATAGTTTTTTTTGTTAAAACTAAGATTAGTTATATATATTCTTTGTCAAGAAAATAAATTTCTTTTGCTTACCTCCTTTGCCTTGACCCATATTCAATTCTTTGGACCTGGAAAAGTATACTGAGGAAGTCTATTTTCAATGATATTCCATAAAAGTACAGTGTATTTATATGCAATCTAGTCCACAGGCCCTCCATTTCCATTTCAAGTGTATCAGAATCAGAATAAGCTTTATTGCCAGGTATGTTGACACATACGAGGAATTTGTTGTAGTGACAGAACTCTACAGTGCAACAGAAAGACAGAAAGACAGTGACAAGACAAGACACAGGTAATAAAAAGAGTTATATACAGATATACAAAGATATACAAAGTAGCGTGCAAAATAGCAAGAAGACATTCCAGTATGATGTGTTTGTACAGGTATGTTGATATGTGCAAATATGAAAAAATAAATAAGCGTGTGTGTTAAATAAATAATTTGTTTTAGTGTTGTGTGTACCACGTGTATTGTTAAGTGTACATGACATTGTTAAGTGTTTATGACATGGACTGCCTGGGGGAAGAAACTGTTCCTGTGTCTGGTCGTTTTGGTGCTAAGTGCTCTGTAGCGTCGACCAGATGGCAGCAGGTTAAAGAGGGAGTGTGCTGGGTGTGAGGGGTCCAGGGTGATTTTCTTAGCCCTTTTGCTCACTCTGGATAAGTACAGATCTTGGAGAGTGGGGAGGGATGTTCCAATGATTCTCGCAGCAGTCCTGACTACCCTCTGCAGTCTTCTAAGGTCAGATTTGGTAGTTGAGCCGAACCAGACAGTTATAGAAGAGCAGAGGACGGATTCAATGATTGCGGTGTAGAACCGTATCAGCAACTCCTGTGGCAGGTTGAATTTCCTCATCTGACGAAGGAAGTATAACCTCTGTTGGGCCTTTTTCACAATGGAGTCAATGTGAGTGTCCCACTTCAGGTCCTGGGAGATGATGGTCCCCAGGAACCTGAATGACTCTATTGTAGCCACAGTGCTGTCCATGATGGTGAGTGGGGGGAGAGCAGGGGGGTTCCTCCTGAAGTCCACGATCATCTCCACTGTTTTGAGCGTGTTGAGCTCCAGGTTGTTAAGACTGCACCAGGCAGCCAGCTTTTTTGCCTCCTGTCTATAAGCAGACTCATCGCCGTCCTGGATGAGGCCGATGAGTGTAGTGTCGTCTGTATTTCTCCTTAGGAGAATAAGAAACTGAATATTAACTTTTTTTTTGTTGCTTTGTTGATAGTATTATCCAACATGCCCTTTTGTACATGTGGGTATTTCACAGATGCAATTCAGGATATACTTTAGATATCGTCATAAACAAAAGACCAATGAGAGTACTATTATGATACAAATATTTTTATTACATTCAAAACACTCACAATTTGGAAATCACAGAAAATGTAAACTTTCAAATAAACTATTATAAACAAAATAGAAATCTATGTCTATATGTACACTGAAAGGTTTAAACTGTCAAAACATGTTCTGACATTTTTCCTGATTATAACAGAAGTGGTTTACTAAAAGGCCAGTTCACTGTTGTTACCAGGTTCTTACACAGGACATCTGAACATATTTTGGGCTAGAGCAGGCATGTAACAGCAAGACATTGTTGAAAAGAATTTAGGTCTAACATATGCATCATGTATTGAGGGAAAACGTAAAAAATGATAGCTGTATCAAGTATAACTGGTCATTTACGTATATGGATAAACTTGTTTAATGGAAAATCTAATATATTTCTTAACCACATCAGCAAAATGATATAACAGTTTGACCTGGCTTGTTTTTTAATAACTAGATATTCTATAAATTGATTTGACCAGTTCTGAGAACTGGTAAAAAAAAATCCATTTGGAAATAAATAGAATCAAAACGTAGTTGGAAGGCTTACATTAAATTTAACATTTTAGCATGATGTGCTTTTTATAACCATATTAATAATCCAATTTATTATAAAGTCATGGACATTTAACTTGCCCAGACACTTTTATTTCACTTTGCTAGGACCATGGTGGCATCCTGATTCTATATTAACTGTCAATGTATACTGCATATATAAATCAAATAAAACTTGGTGGAAGAATCAATCCAGCCACCTTGTAACTGCTTATAACCAGTCAGTTAAGTGAGTTAATGTGGGGGCTCTAAAGGAAACTGTACACAAACATACTTTTTTGGGATGATGGAGTTTATGTTTTCATACACATATAAATGAGAAAATGAACACATTTTGTAAAAACTGCATATTGAGGTATTTAGAAGATCAGGAGCATTTTGCATTACTCAAGCACACTTCAGACCCTGCAAAATAATTTAATCAGTGAAGGTTAGTATGCTGTTCTCTGCCTTGTACTCTGGGATAGGCTCCAGACCACCACAACCCTGCATAAGACAAGCAGGTATAGAGGATTGATGGATGGATGCTAATGCTTCACTTTTGAGCATTTGCCCTAATGCTCCAGTAGATGGTCTTCACCCCCTCGACAGTAAGAGGCAAAAATACATGCAAAGTTATGGTGTAACTGAAACAGCGAGAGTATTAAGCCATAAAACCAATGGAATATCAGTTCCAAAAAAAGAGCCTTAAATTCTATTTCCCCATATACCTATTGTATCATTCTAGTTTTATCCTAGAACAAGGACACTAAACATCAATAAATCTATTCTGCAAAGCACCTCTCTTACTGAACCCTGGAAAGTGCTGTATGTAATAAAAACTTGCAGCTGTCAAAGTGCTCTCTGTGATTTACATGGAAAGACAAAGCACACAAACTTCAAGAACTGTACAAAGAAGCCATGTTTATTTCACCCTGGATGTATGGAATGTGTTCTGCTATTGGGTTGTAATGTAAAAAATTTTTGACCCAATATTTGACACATTAGCTGTTTCCCGTTCTACATGGTTGGACATGGACTGTACATGAATTTTATTAATAAACTATTTATATGAAATTATAGACAAAAGAGACATTGAATATCTACTTGAGCTTCTTCTTATTATTATTATGATTATTTATTAAATAATCATAATAATAATAATAATGTTTGAATTGCTTAATATTCTGTAAGTTTGTATATTGGTTTATAGCACTGAGGTGTTCCTTAGCAACAGCAGAACCTCAAATTCATGACAGCAGAAAATGGAATAGCAAATATAATGGAATTTGAGAGTAGTAACATCAGCAAGCCCTTCTTCATCCAAATGGCACTTTTATTTAAAATCAAAAGGTACTGTTCCCCGTACCTCCAATAAGATTCTGTAAAATGATTTAAAAAAATTAAATAAATAAAAAGCAGTTTGGAACATGTGTTCTCATTCAACAGCAACATCTTCACACCCAAAAGTCAGACATATTTGGCATTTTGGTCCACAGGTGTGGATCTGATAGAGACTGGAGCCAATAAGCTGCCTTATTGTGCCTTTGTCCCAAAACCAAGCATTTAATTGCACTCAGTCAGTCAAAACCACAAGCTCTCCCTCACTGCGCTCCCCAGAATCGCTCTCATCTCCATCACTGTAGGGGTGTCTTTCCACAATACTGCTGGGGGTCTCCATGGCTTGTGCCGGCGAGGACTCCAGTCCACTGGGCAGGTAGTGCTTCATCAGTGTAGGGGGCAGGCAAACCGCTGTCATAGACTCAGGGGGACTAGGATAATGGATGTCGCTGGTGGGGTAGTGCAGTGGTGGCTCTGATTGGCTAATACAGGAAAAAGCATTACAAAAAAAATAACTGTTTTCAAATCACAGTATCAAAAATGAGATGTAATTGAGAATTAGATGAAGAAAATATTTAAAAGCAAAATAATATATGTGTATGGATGAATTATTTAAAATACTGTTTAAAATAATTTTGAGTCATAGGTTTTGTATCCATCGGTAAACCAGTTCCGCTATTCAATAAGCAGCATTAAAAAAAATCAATCAATCTATAGTTACTAGTAAAATAATACTAGTAAAATGTTATGCTGCAGAACTAAGCACAATAGGTGAAACACTATTACTAAGTGTAACCAATCGAAAAGCTGCAAATATATATTAAAAATATTAAATGATTACTTTACAAGAAGTATACACTGCTGAGAATCAATGATGTCCTTGAGATTAGTGGGGTTACAAATGCTCCCAGGTTTCTCAACAACTAGTCCAAGGCCTAAGGCTGGGCTGCGAGCAGGCTCTGTTGGACAGTGGAACTACGGCAGGGAAATGCAGTTCGGTCCATAATGGGCCACTGCATGGACACAGACGAAAACCTAATCTTTGAACAGACGCAAACTCCCCTCCTCACTGGGCTGCCAACATTACAAATGATGAATAGCTGGTCATTTTGAATGGAAAGGTTGAGAAACTCTGCTATAATACACATAAATATGAGATCTCATTTTCAGTAAATCTCTATGGAGTATTTTTATACCCAAGTTATACACTACATGGACAAAGTATTGGGACACCTGGCCATTACATCTACAAGAAGTTTTATGACATCCCATTCAAAATCAATAAGCATTAAAATGGAGTTGGTCCCCCCTTTGCAGCTACAACGGCTGCCACTCTTCTGGGAAGGCTTCCCCAAAATTTTGGAGTGTGTTTGTGGGAACTTTTTCCCATTCATCCAGAAGAGCATTTGTGAGGTCAGGCACCGGTGTTGGGCATGAAAGCCTGGCTCACAATCTGTGTTTTAGTTTATTCCAAAGGTGGATGAATAAATATTTTTTTTAAATACTCTTTAAAATAAGTTTTCTAGTCATAGGTTTTGTGGCCATAGGGAAAATAGTTACCAGTTACCAAACCAACCATGCCTTTATGGACCTTGCTTTGTGCACTGGGGCACAGTCATACTGGAACAGAAAGGGCCTTCCCTAAACTATTACCAAGTTGGAAGCATAAAATTGCCCAAAATGTCTTGGCATGATGAAGCATTAAGAAATCCCTTCATTGCAACTAAAGGGCCTAGCCCAACCCCTGAAAAACAACCCCATACCCATTACCCCTCCTCCTCCAAACTTTACAGTTGGCACAATGTAGTGTGACAGATAACTTTCTATTGGTATCTGCCAAACCCACACTGATCCATCAGACTGCCAGACAGGGAAACCTGATTCATCACGCTTTACACCACTCCATCCAACACCTGGCATTGCGCTTGGTGATGTGAGGCCTGCATGCAGCTACTCGGCCATGGAAACCCATTCCATGAAGCTCCCAGCACACAGTTTTTGTGCTGGGGTTAATGCCAGAGGAACTTCAGAACTCTGCAGCTATTGAGTCAACAGAGCACTGGCAACTTTTATGCATTATGCAACTATGCACTTGTTGACCTCACTCTTACTTTATGTTGTCTGCCACTTAGTGGTTGAATTTCTGCTGCTCCTAAAAGCTTCCAGTTTACAATAATACCACTTACAGTTGACTGTGGAATATCTAACAGTAAAAAAATTTCACAAACTTACTTATTGCAAACGTTGCATCCTATGACAGTATGGCACTTGAATCCACCGAGCTCTTCAGAATGACTTAATTTTTCACAAATGTTTGTAAACCTGACTGCATGGCTAGGTGCTAGACTTTATACACCTGTGGCAATTGGTCTGAATGAAACACCCGAATTCAATGCTTAATAGTTGTGTCCCAATACTTTTGTCCACATAGTGTATATTCATAATGGTTTTTAATTCACAAAAAAGTGTATATTGCTTAAACTTATTTGTTAAATGACAAATTAAAATTAGCTAAAGACTGAAGAACATGCTCATAAAATATTTGAAAAATTCATTAGAAAATAAAATGATAATTGCTTTTAGTATTACTTTTTGGGTACAGGTTCAGACCAGGGCTAGGTGTTGCCAAGGAGCCCATGATCACAACTCATCACGATGCATCACAATATTACCATTGCATCTCGATGGGTAATACTCAAATGTTGAAATAATAGAACTACTAAAATTTAAAATAGGCCAAATTTACTTAAAAACATTAAATCCCTTTAACTACCAAGGATGAGTCAGTATCTTAAATAAAGTTTTTGCTCAGTTGTATAAACTATGCATTTCTTTGTGCATACATAAAGTGCGCATATCTGATTCTAAAACAGCAAATGTGGGGGAAAAAACATAAAAATTCAGCAAATACTGAAAAAGATTCGACTTGGTAGGTTCAGTGGTACTGCAATAAATTAATAAACCGATGCAAAGGCTCAAAATATCAATGAAAAAACATGACAGTTGAAATGTAATGATCAATTGTATTATCGATACAGCTCTAGTTCAGACTATGCATACACATAAATAAGTGTAGTGATACCGTCCCATGTAATGATTTGTTTTGTATGTTTATTTTCCACATGTTGCAGATAGAAAAAGAAGCCTCACCTGGCTGTGTAGGTTACACGCTGTTCTTGACGACGACTCTTCATCATGGCTTTGTACTCGCCCACACGCAGCCTCCGGCCCTCCACTATGCAGGTGCGCTTTGGACGAGGTTTGTACTTGTAGTCGGGGTAACGCTCCAGATGCTGGCGGCTGAGCCGGGCTTGCTCCTCGTAATAAGGCTGCTTCTCCTGGTTGGACATAGCCTTCCAGCGTGAGCCTGAGGGTTGCAGGTTGTTTGAGCTTGGTGGTCATTCGCACAGACTAAAGTCACTATCTTTGAAACTCATCCACTTTTATATGCCTAATTTTAAAATAAGCATTACTTGCTGCAAATTGTTTTTCTTTAAAAAAAAAAAACAAATAAAAGTGTGAATAAAAGTCAAAAGTCAAACTAAAGTATCATATCAGCTCTATGATGCATGGGTATTAAACCGAGATTAAGCATCATTACTTACTGGTCACAGTGCAACCAAAATAATAAATAGTATATAGATACGTAACAGAGCATGTGAGCGGAGCGGTGAGAATTTCCGCTCCTCGCTCACGAGGCTGTTGGCTCCGCCCGCTCCTCCGCTCTAATTCGCACTAAGCCGCTCCGCTCAACACCGCTCCTCGCTCCACTAAAATGTCCTCCCGCTCCAGTCAAATCGCTCCACGCTCGCTCCAATTTAAAAGAGGGACAAATAATCTGCATGCCTAACAAATGTCACCTTAAACCGAAGCCTTATGTCATAAAGAAATATGAGCAACGGCAACATTGCCAGTCAGAACAGAAAATATTTATTTTTAAGCAACCTATCGGCAACAACGGACAGGTTTGGAAATGGCATTCCACACAAAAATAGGCTTAAAAATAAAGGAATCAGTGGGCTTAATAGCCTAAAGAATATACAGACACGTTTTAAATTCCTCACTTTTTTTCTGTTGATGCAGCACGTCTCTAAAATAAATTTTTACGTTACGTGAAATTAAAAAAAAATCTTATTAGACCTACTTTGAATGACAAAACGAATTTATTTGATTACCAATATTTAGTTTATAGGCTTTTTTACTTTAATTTACTTTATAGGCTTTTATACTTTAATTTACTTTATAGGCTTTTATACTTTAATTTACTTTATAGGCTTTTATACTTTAATTTACTTTATAGACTTGATATGCTACAACCATATAAAACTTGCACGCGTTTTGCTCTGGCTTCCGCTTGTTCGCGTAGCACACTCATGTTTCTGAGAAAAGTGATTCCAAAGTGAATCTTTACTCACTGAAACAGTTTCACCACATTGTTGTTCTTGCTGTACATTCTTGTCATCTATACGTTTGATAAGAATAGTACACTTGTATGATTTATCAGTTTCCTTTGTGAAATACTTTGCGAATTCCATCTCGGCCAATTTGTGTAACAGTCTTGATAATTGTACAGATGAATTCTGGGTAGATTTGGGCATGCCTCAGAATTGTGATGTGAGCGGTATCGGAGCGAAATTGGAGCGAGACAAAGCGACCGCTCCAGCCTTAATTAGAAAATCCGCTCCGCGCTCTGACCAAATTCCGCCCGCTCCGCTCCGCTCACATGCTCTGATACGTAAGCAGGGGTGGGGAAAAATTGATTTTATGATTAATTGTGATCCTGATTTTGACGATTCAGTATTGAATAACTATATCAGTTTTTGGATTTTGTGAATTTAAGCCTTTTCCTTGTGACTTTGAAAATATTTTCACTCAATTTTTCTTTTATCAGTCCTGTTGACACTATTTTCACTCTCACCTATAGTAGGGTTGCAATAGTATTGAGTGCATTCTCCTTGTGTCACCATCTTGGCGAATCATCAGTCATGACAATGGAGTACACTGAGCATGTGAATGCAAGCAAGTCAAGTATGGTTTTATTCTCACACCTATCATATTCAGTACACTGCTTATGTTGATGCAAAATAACGTTATTAAATAAAACAAAAAAAAGCTAACAATGTAAAGAGAAAATGGATGTTATTGAATGTGACCTGATGTCAGTTACAAGAATATTGTTAATTATCTGTTTTTTCAAACATAGTGGGTAACACAGAAGCAAATGAAAGTGATTAGAAGTCTGGAGGTATAGTTTATTTCTGGCTGGGTGCAAGAATTGTAGAGAGAAAAGTGTGGATAAAATATTTTAGTGTATTCAGGGTAAGTACAAGAATAAATTTCATGCTTATTATAACATGTACATTTATTTTGCACACTAAAGATACATCTCAGTTTTTTTAATCTAGTATAGTAGTTTGTAATTGATAGCAGTTTTTCAAATTTGTAATTCTGTGTTGTGTCTACCTTATTGCCCATCTTGTGTCTTTGTGTTAATGTCATTTATGCAATACAAAAATGTCCCCTTGGGGATAAAGTACTCTGAATCTGAAATATTACATATTGCTTTTCATTATCTTATTTTTGTCTTGTAATGGTATGTTGCTTTGTTCTGCAATGTTAATGCTACCGTGGTGTGCCTGTTGTCGTTGTTTTTACAACATATCTGGTTTGATCACACATTAGTGTAAATCTAATAAAACTGAAACCAAATCAAATCAGGCACTTGAGAATCTAAATCAAATCGAATTGTGAGGTCAGGGCCAATTCCCTGTTCTAAGGAATACCCATACATTCTTCAAATAAAAATGTTTTAATTTATACTTTAGCACATTTCTTGAAGTTAAAATCTTTCTGAAGTTTCAGACTTGAATATTTTTATTTTAAGCCATTCTTTTCAGTCAGAAATAATTTTTTTGTGCTTTGAAAGAGAGGTTGGTTCTGCTTTTAAAGAGCTATACCCATATGTTCCTCACATAAAAATGCAAGCCTTTGACCTTTCCTTATTGGTTTTCACAGTTTGTTTCCAATGACCCTGCATTTGTAAAATTGTTTCATTTAGTGATTTTTATACATTTTTCCAAAAATGGAAAGCTGCTATATAGTATTTCATACCTCATTCCTATTGATCAAATCAAATTGAATTGAATCGAAGCAATAGCTTGTGAATCAGAATCTAATCAGATCAGGCTATCTGTGCCAAAATTCAGTCCTCTATGTAAGGTATATAAACATAAGACATACTAAGATAAATGACAGTGAAATCTAGACATGTATACAAGATACAGCATAAAATATACATGATTAAACCGATGATCAGATGTGAAACATGCAAATGGGCTGAATAAACAGATGAGTGGAATGTGCAACGAACAGACAAAATGGACTTTAGTTTCAGTGTGCTGAGCAGGGAGTCAGTCCATTTAGCAGAGCCAGTTTAAGAGTGGCAGAGGCCAGTGTTTGGTAGTCGAGCCACCTGGGACAGTGGACCTGTAGACCAGTATTTAAATTTGAAGTATTCTACAAGGAGTTTATTCTACAATTCTACCAGTTACAGGAAGCTCACTGTCCTCATTACAGAGAAGCAAAAGTTTAAGATGACCTGGAAATTTTAGCTAGCAGCAGCACAGGTTTCTTGCCTCTTCAGAGGAGCAAGCGATGCACCTTTATTCCACACATAGCACATCTGCCCAGACAGTAGTGTATCTCTGAGAACCCAGTTTTACATTATAATTGACTCCACAGACAAATATCCAGTGATTGTCTTTGCACAGCCCTTAATCTCAGTGACTGAAATTCTACATTCACTGTGGGGCTAGGCTGAGTATGTGAAACACATGCTTACAAATCTGGAACAAATATTTGGTTTTATTTAAAATAAATTGAATATTACGATGGAGATAGATAACATAGATAAGTATGGTAGAGATGCATAAAAATGTCATATTCTGCCTTAGTTTGAATATAACTGATCTTGGCAGTTTGCCTGCCACAGGGAAGCAGGTGGAGAATCATGCTCTAGCATGCCCTACTGTGCCCACAATAGCAGCAGGTGTTACACTCAGAATAGGGCTGCATTGACAATTGGGCCTGAAGTGACATTCAGAATGGCCTGTGTAAGCTTAACAACAACAACAAAAACAAGAAAGGAGCAGAGAACAAGGCATTATGAAGCCTGTGTTATGGGAAGCACAGCGGTGTATAGGAAAGATAGGTCAGCATGGAAGCAAAGGACCAGGAGAAAAAACTAAAAACACTACCTAAACATGAAAGTATCCTTAACAAATAAAAAGAATCAGTGAACATGTTGTAGCTAATGCTGATTTTTGTAATTTGTGCCATTTTGCCAGAGCTGCAGAAGAGGAAGTAGGCAGAAGTCCAGTTAGAATCAGGCTACCAACATACCCAAGATCTTGCTAATGCTGGAGTTGTGCATATCTGGAAACGCCTGCAGGATGCGGCGGCGCTCATCTTTCGCCCAAACCATGAAGGCATTCATAGGTCTTTTGATGTGTCCTGAGGAGGGCGTGTGGACCTCAGCAAAGCCACTGACTCCTGGAGCAGACACGGCCCCTACCACACAATCTCATTTGTATCCTGGCACAGGCACAACACTTTCAATTCACTATTCAGATAAGTACGAACAGTCCAGATTTTTAGCTCATGGTTCATTAGTGCTATATATTAGGAAAACTACTAATATTTCAAAATTTTTCTATACTTCTTTTATCTCAACACTTGTATTTAGATCTTCATGTTATTTTTCTTTAAATAACATTCAGTATCCAAAACTGTTTCGCTGTACGCACAATGTTCAGATCTTACCCTCTGAATCACTGCTGGGATGGTCCTCTTTGGGTTGGTGAATCTGGTCATCTTCCTTTCTCTCTTCATGTGTCAACTGTACAGCTCGAGAAATCTGTAGCATATGCAGCACAAGGACACCAAAATGCCATTTCCAAAAGGCAATGGGGGAAAAAGTATATAGTGTAGGTGTCAACAGAACCACTATAGTCGTTTAATTGAAATTGATTATTTCTCATCCTATTCAGCAGGTAAAGAGAATAGCAAGAGAAACCTGTACTTTACACAGTTTTTTCAATATTTGTACTAGTGGTCAGAAAAGATAAAAGCAGGACAAGAGAAGGAAGTAATGCATGGACAAAAAACACAAACATTATTTTATACATTACAGTATATTTTGATAATAGAAGACTAGAGTCAGTCTGTTCTTTAGACGAGGCCATATGAAAATGAAATACTTCACTTGACAGTGATATATAATGACTTCAGGTTCTATGATCAGCTCACAGGTTACGTATGTATTTCTATGATGAAATCAATGTGATACTTATGGTGGTCTTACTGTCAGGCAGAGCTCTGTTGTTGCGGGCAGGGAGTTAGAAGAGCCTACCAATAACCAACTCACCTTTCTGCCATTATCAGTGTCTCTCCCTAAAGCCACATGGCCCCTCAGAAGTTGCTGAGCATCGTGTAGAGTCTGGCTCACTACGTCTCCCTCGCCCAAGAAACCTGCATGACAAATTCACATTTCAGGCAGTAGGCAGTGGTCCATCAACAACTTGCCGCTCAAATAGCAGAATTAAAATTGCTGAATTAATGAAAGTGTCAAGCAACGATAAGCAATTGTGTATGCACTGTGAGAGAAATTTCATTCTCTGTCCCTTTTCAATGCTGTACGGTACAGCATAAAAAATAAATCAATATAGCATAATGGAACATTACTTCTAAATCAAATTAAAAAGTAAAGAAACTCAGGAGGTACTGGGTCAAATGAGAGGTGCCGATACTAACTTAGGCTGAGTCCAGATCGAGGGGGGCTGAGCTGTAGGTCACGAGGTCCAAAGCTGCTCTGCAGGGGTACGGAGGCCATTTCCAGGGTTTGCCCACTAGTTGTCTTGCACATATCGAGTCCTTTTGGCTTGGAGGTCAAGTTGAGTGGCTGATTAGCTTCCTTTAAACCAAACTGAGGATGCATCAATTCATGTCACATTCAAGAACAACCACTCTCTCCTGTCACGTTCTCAAATTCTGTCACTACCCAAAATTCTTTTATATAAATGTTACCAAATATAAAACAACAATCCGTATGGTTATTGTATGCTTGTGTAGGATAATATGCAACATTTTTACTGAAAGCAAGGCTGCAATACAAAATTACCCTCTTTTACATTAAATATTAATTTTTTCTTCTAAGCCATTAAGCCCAATGATTCATCTGACAGTATTCTGTTATTAATTGATAGTCATTTGCATAAACAAATCTATAAAGCAGCAATTTAATAAAAGGTGGTGTGTGGCTCTGTGGCTTAGCACTCTGTGTGTGTATGGGAGTCACTGGTTTGAATCCTGTGGCTGACAGATTAATATTGCTGTTGGGCCCTTGATATTTGATAGTTTTCAAGTAAAACTAATCGGTGGTATATTTGGGCATCTTTTAAGTATCATAAAAATGCTAATTCATAGCATTCATTCAAAGGAGGAGGAGGTAAGGAGCATGCACTAATTCTAGTGTGTTTCCGCACCCACCACACGACAAACCACCTCAGGGATGAGAACCTGAGTGCAGCCATGTGGAGGGTGATACCTCGGCACCACATTAGTGTGAGTTTTTTTTTTCTGGTGGCCACCAAGTTATTCCCTGTAAATTGGAGGACCTCCTTATAGGGCTGGATGTAGATGAAGCAATTTCAGGTTAAGGGCCTTGTTCAAGGACCCAACGGGGTAGAATCACTCCGGGCATTCGCGGGATTTGAACCAGCAACCTTCCGATTAGGCTCAGGCATCTACCTAAGCAGATGCCTGAGCCACCTCATCTGGCTCCTTTCAATGCGGAGGAGCAGCGGCTCTACTCTGAGTCTCTCCCGAATGGCCGAGCTCCTCACCCTATCTCTAAGGGAGAGCCCAGCCACCCTGCGGAGAAAACTAATTTCGGCCGCTTGCACTCACGATCTCGTTCTTTCGGTCACTACCCACAGCTCATGACCATAGGTGAGGGTAGGAACGTAGATTGACCGGTAAATCGAGAGCTTTGC